TACGCTCCAAAACAGAGCAGAAATCAAATGATTCTAGACTTATTTTTCAAAGGCGTGTTTGGTGAAATATGGAGTAGTTGATTGTTTCATTTTGTCTTAATGTATTAAAGCTGTGTGACACAAAGTAAAATAATGATGGCATTTTCTTTAGAATTTAAGTGAACCTCAGTCCACACACTCGAATATGCCAACTGCTTTTTTCAACAGGAAGAAGCCATACCAGTATTACAGCAAAAGAGCTAAATAAGCTTCATTCTGAAAATAATCAATTATTGATGCAGGAAAATCTCTTATTTGTCTGGAAAAGAGAATTTATAGTTTTGAAGAGGACATTACACAGTATGTTATTTGTAACTGGAATCACAGAATCTTTGTGCATAAGTAATTTATCATAGCTGATTTGCGCATATATAGAACCTAGGTCTCTCTTTTACATTTGTTGAACTCCACTGACTTCTCACTGATTTACACTAGTGTGAAAGAGATCAGCCTTGCTGATGTCAGTGTAATTATTCCTGATCCATGCCCACATGACAGGAAAATCTACCCCACTGGTTTGTTTGTTTTTAGAAGTGTATGAATGGGCTCTAGCTCTTGCATTGCAAAATGCACAATCGTCTGCTGTTTGTGCATCGGTTTCTGACATTTCAAAGAGAGAAAGACCTCCTGCACAGTTGACTTCTGGGTTCCCAAGCTCTCAGGTTTGCTTGCCTTGTGGGATAACCAGCTTTGCCAAGCTCAGAGTCTAGCTGTCTCCTTGCATACCACACTAGCCAGCTATCAAGCTCGGAGGCCTCCCAGAATTCAGATCTACCAGGTCTGCTTTTTAAAAAGAGCTTTGTTTTATTCAAAAATAAAATTTTGCAAATATTTCTGCTCTGTGGATAATATTGTATTTCTTACTCTTTGCTCTGATTTGGAAAGGTGGTGATACAAGGGGAAACAATACAAATATATGACATTTTCCAGATAAAAGAAATGTCTTTTCTTGTACACCTCTAATTACCAATAATTAATATACAAGACATCGTGATTACAGAATTTAAGTACATATATTCCTGATTTAACAAAGTTTTACCTCTCAGTAAATGACTCTCTCAAACTTGTATTTTATTTGATGATATAAGTGCAGTGTTATTTCATTCAAAAGCTGATACCATCAACACCCATTTACAGCAACACCAGGTAAGAAGAATGGGCACTTAGCAATAACATTTCCCTTGGGAGCAGTCTTCTATTATGATTTCAGATGTCATTCCCTATAACAGCAAGAGCTGCTTAGGGACAATGTAACACCAGGGCACCTATGTGTTGATACTAAAATACATCAACTATATTATTGTTCATCAGCTAGATAACAGTCACTTCAAATCATATTAAAAGTTAGGAGTGAGAGGCACATTTAAAACAACATCAAATTAAGAAGCAATCTGAAGAAGAATGTGCTGTATTCAAAAGCTTGTCTAAGTCTATCCCAGCCATGCAGTTAGGCCTTGCCTCTATCAAATGAAGAGCCATCAATCCTATCTTATAAGTAAATAAACAACGAAGGCCCATACCACATATTACATATATTATGCAATTAACTGGTTAATCGCACAAAAAATTCAGACCAGCCACACATGCAAAGTAATTATCATGCCATAAAAATGTACAACCAGCTACAAAAAGAGCCAACTAGCTACAAAGTTAGTGATTGAAAATGTCTAACAGCTTATAGTTGATTTCTATCCAGCTTTATTTTGAACATGTAGCAGGGACCCCAATTCCCCTGATTATCTCTTGTGAAAAGACAATGTTTTGCTTCCTCTGTAATTATCACCATCTTAATATGAAACAATGACTGCAGATAAGATTTTCAAATGAGCCTCAGAAACTTGGAGCATGTTTACATGCTATAATACAGAACCATTTACTAGTACATGCACTAGTTTTGGAGCCAGAAGCCAGGTGGCTATGTTAACACAGAAATCTGGCCTGACTAATTAGACCAGCTGAGAAACACCTTGCTTCTGCATGCATACTGCTTCTGGCCCCCATGTTTTCTAATAACCTAAGGACCTTTAGAAAAGGGGACTTAGGTTGCTAACTCATTTAGATGTTTTTGAAAGTTTTACCAACTGAGCCAATACTTTCCTAAATGAATTGTTTCTAATTAGGAGCTATGGTATTCCGTAAGTTTTCGTTTGTGAAATTTCTTGTCAATTATTTATTCAACTCTCAGGTTTGCTCCCTTGTGAAAGTGGCAAATGTTTTGTTCAATGATGATGCCAATGTTCAATGAAGACCCTGGGGTGCCCTGAGATCCTTTTAAGGGTGACCCAGGATGCCACACTGTTGGGTGGGCAAACACGATTCATTAGATATTAAATAGGAGATTTCAAATAGGAATTTGGTGTATTAAAATTACTCTGACCTGTTGTGGTCTTTCCGAGTTCTTGGCAAGAGAAGAATTTGTCTATTGGGTTTTTTAGTCAAAAAAATAAATGAAAACTAAGGGTGCAGAAAGAAGTGCAGCTCCCAGCTGTAACTCAGAACAATTTTTACAAAGCATGCAGAGTTACAACGTTACCCCAGACCAAATAGAAGTTCACTGTTGATTCCAGGGGGAAGGGAATATAGTTGCCAGCTGGGAACCTATAGCCAGGTTCCCATAGCAATGACCACAGGCGACTGGTAGGGGATACGCGGGGGTGCACGTGCCCCCCATGATGGCCGACTGATGCTGTTGGTAGGCTGGTGCCCCCCCCCGACAGGGCCGCCCCCACGTTGGGGTGGGGGGGCTCCAATACACCTGCCCCACCCTTCAAGGGGATTGAAAACCCACCAGGCTGAACTCCTTCCACTCCCTTTCATCCCTCCCATTCTGAAAACAGTGACAGGCTGGGAGCTCCACAGACACAAGTTACAAAAGACACTACATTTTGACATGTCTTTATCTGATATCTCATGCAATGAGGGGCCAGATTTTTACTGAATCAACCATTTTTTAAGCTATTTGAAGCTGTGCACTTATGTTTGGTCACAACTATAAACTGCTTTCTGTGGCCAGATCAGGCAAAAATTGTCACTTCTGTCTGCACCTAAAAGCTGGCGTTTTCTGAGGAATGCCTCAAGTCTCAACAGGTTGTGAACCACTGCATTAAAGACAAGGGCAAATTTCATGGAGCCATGCTGTCAAGAATTCTCCTGCAAGGAACTTCCTCTGCTGAGGGGATTATTACAAATTGCAAGGTAGCGGATGGCTCCCAGTGCACAATCAGCTCCACTTTCACAATCAGCAGGAAATGTATTCTGACCTACCAGATCAATAGAGTGCTCCTGAGGTGCTACAGTGACGGGGCCACATACTAGACAGGCAGATAGATTAGGCAGAACACCAAGTTGTCATATCCGCTTACATATATCAGCACATATCAACATGAAAGATTTTACTGTGAGAAACTAGAAACTTTCTTGCCAAGAAACCAGAGGAACAGTCAAGAAAGAAAGATATCACTGAAAGGTAGAAAGATTATTCAAAAAGATATTTACTGTATTTCTATATTGCTTTCTTATATAATAAGAAACAAACTCACATTATTTCAATAAGCCAAAGGCACTATAAAGGGATTTATTATATATGGTTTCTTTAGTCCAATAGAAGCCTCCTGGACATTACTGCTTTACTAGCTTTCACAGTACAAAGTATTATCTACCTGTAAATCACTGACATTTTCTCTCTACTTTATTCCATTTTCTAAAAAGAGAAAACTTCAAGATGTACAGCTACATCTTGCAGTCCTTGTTTAGACAAAACTATTCTTAGCATCAGAAGACTGCAACATTTATCGCATAGTTTGAGGTTATTATATTGTCCTAATTTACCTTTAATACAAGTAAGCTGGGAACAATTAATAAACAATTCTGTACAGTAAAGGCTTGGAAAGATTTAACTCAGAATGAAGAAGCCTGAGCAGCTGGTAGAAACATGAAGCTTTTATAAGCTGAGATCAACGATGTAAATTGATATATGTTACAACTAAGTATGTATCTACCCATTCTGTCCCCTAAAAGCCCATCTGTTGATTTCTAAGCAAAAATGTGATTTTTCTGAAGAGGAAATATAGTGTTTTATATTAAGGATCCAAAACATAGTAGTTTAGTATGGTTCTAATGCTAGGGTCTGGACCATTACTCTAAAATCATTTAGTTTTCATATATGCATAATCAAGGATAAGTAAAAGGAAAGAGAATAAAAGAGGTGAGAAACCTCAGTAATTAATCAGAATGTGTCTACTTTGTATAGTTAGTGAAAAAAAAATGGCCCTTTCTGTATAATTAAGCTGCACAAACTTTTAATGTTCTCTCTGCTAAGCAATAGGAATAATTAAACAGAAGATGCAGCCTTGACAATTGCCAGCTGATAAACTTAGCAAGAAAACAACAGCCACTGTACTGACTTCTACATGGAGTTACCTTTTAATTTTCTGAGTGCATGGCAAATGCATACACCATAACATGTCACAGTCTAACTTTATGTCACTACTATTGTTGTCTTTTTTATGACAGTAACTCTGATCAGTCATTCTATTGATGCCAAAAAGAATAAACTGCATGCCAATATTTAAAAACAGTCAGTAAAAAAAAATAGCATTTTTATTTTACCCTAGATGACAAATCTGCAGGTTATAACTCAGCAAATTTTTATAATTAAATGAACTGTCATCTTTTTAAAAGTGTCAGAAGTGCAGAGAATGAAACTATCACATGTGATTAGACTATATAGTACATATGTCAGATAAAAAAAAAAATAGGTGCCAGAGAAAGTAAACTAATTTTGTTTTATTTTTTGTTATTAACTGTAAATTGAAACTTAATTGGTAAGCATTTTCACTAACCATATGAAATAAGCCAAGCTAGCAATAAAACTAGTACTTTCTCACTCTTAGGATACGTGCCTGTGTGTTTGTGTGTGTGAGAGAATATGGGAGGAGGTGTTGAAAAAAATAACACATTACCACATTGTATCTGCAGTCCTTAGGGAGCTGGTAGATCGGGATCTTGGCTTCATAACAATACTCATTTTGAAAAATTCTCCAGTAATTTTAGCAGTCAAAGTTCAGTTGTCCTTATAAAGCTCACACTCCACGTATTCCATTTCAACATCAGCTTTGTTTAAAAAAAAAAGATCCTCAGAAATCCTCCTCCTGTAATAATCCAAGCTCTGAAGGAAGAATCCTAACACACTGGGACGCTTTCCTTTTTCACACTGAATTTACCCCAGCACTATGCTGTTCGGAAATGACAGTGCTTTTCTCTTCTGTCTTGTATTGCCTGGGGAGGAACTCTATTTTGAATGTATTCTCCATCTAGGTCACATGGGAACCAAAGCAGCTGAAAAGAGTCTCGATCTCTTTCTCATAGTCCTATAACAACAGGTTTAAAGGTCAATCACATTAAAAAAAAACTAGTGATGGGCAGTCAAAGGAGAGGGGAAAAATGAATATAAGCTATTGTAGCACAAATGCATTTCCAGGAAAATTCCACTTTCAGAATTCTACATAAAATCATACCAATGGAGTAAAGGAAAAAAACCCAAAGCTTTTTCATCTTAAGATCACCAGAAATGTTACCGGTGACATTAATTCATCCCACCCTTTCCCCCTAGCCCCTGGCTCCTCTGAGATTTTGTGAATGAACAGCATTATTAATCTCCCAAAGCAGAAACTATTCCGTAAGGGACAAGTGACATTTATCTGAAAGAAACCAAAACACAGTGGGAACTTAAAGAGAAATAGAATCCTTATTGCCTGCGAAAGCCATATACGCACACAAATCCTGTTGTAAATCAACCAAGTATTTTCTGCTGTCTTTATAAAGCTCACACTCCACGTATTCCATTTCAACATCAGCTTTGTTTTTAAAAATCTTCCAAGAACCATCTTAGAAAATCTTTTTTACTATAGCTCAGTAGGACTGCTTGTCCTGCTAGAGTAAAGCCTATGACAGCAACTTGATCAGAAACAGCTAAGCTTTTTATTTTTAACTTCTAGCCAATGGCTTAGCATAAAAGCTTTCAGTGCAAGAGTAAATTTCTTTTGGAAAAGTTTAGTTTAAGCTGGTTTGGCAATTTCACAATTGGAGAAGGCAAAGCGGAACATACAGATTTTGCTTGGTTACCATTTATAAATATATATCTGTATTTAAAAATAGCATATTTGTGTGTGCTTGTGTTTTTTACATGATGTTTTTAAGTGTTCTGTGAACTAGTCTGTGTTGGAATTTCTTTCTAAAAATTGAAAGAGCTGAGTTCTTGCTCAACAAGTGGTTACATGCTTAATAATCCTTCCTTTGCACAATATTTTCAAGCAGACAGCACATATTATATGTTATATATCTGGGTAAATAGTGGTGAAATGTGAAGATATTTTATACCTAAATTGTTTATAGCCTCATAAAATGACTCAGCAAATCACAGAGTCAATGTGCTACACAGTTTATTTAAAACATATCACAAAATTAGTCAAATGGGATATTCTGCTAGTTTGGGATGACAGTATGCAAAAGCCCTGTAGGTATCAATGAAACTTTGCATATTAGCATAACAACAACTCCATAACACGCATTATGGAGCACACTGTGCATTGACAGGAAAGATCCTGACTGCCCTGCAGGCTTGCGGCAGTCATCTGCATATAAAGTGCTCTACAACTGCAGAAAGAATTTTAATGAGGTTTCATGCCAAGCATTCTGTTCTTCATTCTTTCAGGCCTCTATCTTTCAAGTTACACCTCCTGCTACACAGAGCAGCTTTAAGAGTCCCATGGAATTATGAAAGATAAGTCTCCACCGAATGGGCCAGGAATGATTTTACAGAGAACTGGAATGTAAAGGGTCCTGGGATCACACGACTTTTAACAGTAGCTGAACTTGTCATTTCCTTGATAAGGCAAGGTTTCCTTGATAAGGCCAAGCTTTAAAAAACCTTGCTGCATCTTGAATCAAAGTGGAATGTACCCCCCAAACAAAGCAAAAGTGTATCATTATTAAACTTAAGTGCCAACACCAATACCCAGCCACTCTCAAATAGAAAAAACTAAGACTAACAAAAATGATGCATAGGCATGCGTTTTGACTAAACAGGCTAAACGATGCATATAGGAATGAAATATTCAAAGGCTAAAATATCACTATATCAGGATCTCAGGATGGATATGTGTCCAAGTCAAGATGCTGCCTCAGACTATCAGAGATACCTACAGTTCAACTAGGTATTTATCAGGCAGCAAAAGTAGGACGACTGTATTGTGAATAAGATCCCAAACAAACAAATGATCAAAACCATGCCTCAGGCATCATTCCAGTCCAGCAGGGAACAGGAGGATCCTGTAACATTAACAAAGCAAGTGTAAGGAGAGAAGTCTAGGGTATGCTGTTAGTTGTCTCTGCCCCCCCCCCCCCCCCCACACACACACACACACACACACACACACACACACACACACACTCTCTCACTCTCTCTCTCTCTCTCTCTTTCTCTCTCTCTCTCTCTCCCCTGAATGCTCAAGGACAAGTTTAATTAAAAAGCCAGTGGAGGTCTGGGAGAAGTAGGGAGTAGAAAAAAAGCAAAAATAAACTATGTAAAAAACCTACTATTTTTTAGTGAGCAGTTTGGAATCTTGCAAGCCTGGTACAAGAGAAAAGCAATATCTGTACCTCCTCTGTTCAGTGACAGGGAAGAGATTATACATCCTCCAGTGATTCTGTGAACTGCATGATTACAAAAACATGTGAGAAGACAAACTTTGTGTTGTGTTTTGGAAATTGTGGTAGTGTCTTGAGCATATATATATATATATATATATATATATAATAGGGTAATGAGACATAGCATGGAAGACACACCAAGTTCATAAATTGTTCCCAAGTTGTTCAATGGGATGTTTACTATGAAATAAGGGTATGAGCAGGCCCCTACATGGCATTGATCGAATAATATCCGACAGAAAAATCACTTCTATTTTGGGGCTTTAACTAAGACCCCATTATCAACTAACTTATTTATTTCTTCAAATTGATCATATAATAAAGCTGAATCCCAGCACTGGACACACTAGGAAAAAGTTAAAATACTTATAAAATATGTTCCAGCCATATAAAATTTAAGATATACCCAGTGGTAAATCACACTAAGAGAAGTGTGAGTGGGACTCACTGAAGAGATGAGGAATCATGCTAATATCCTATTGAAAGGATAAGGGCCCTGGTAGGTAGGTAAAGAAAAATTATTAACTATTATCTTATAATAATTAATAATTCTAATATAATACAATATATAACTATTTCCCCAAAACTGTATTTTTGTTATTAAAAACCACTGTGCATTAATACAGCAACATAAACCTAAAATGTCAACATTTGATGTAAACATTTAAAGAGAAGAGTGAATGGAAATACATTTATAATTTTATATTGTGGTGTTATAAGTATAATGTTTTACAGATGCATGTGTGTGTGTGTGTGTGTGTGTGTGTAGCTGAGCAATTACTTGGAAAAATGTGACAGCTCTGTGTGGTAGATTTGTTTGTGAAGTATTTTTAGCTGATAGAATTCAGTTTGTTTCTTTTTCTTTTGAATCACATACATAGAGCTCAGTATGGAAGGATATAACATCTATTCCTGAACTAGCCTTTGCTTATGCAATATCACAATTTACAGCAAGTGTTTATAGTACAGCTAAAAATTGAAAAATATAAGGATTCTACATAATGGAAATAATAAGCAATGGATCCTTCACTTCAGTAGTGCTACTGGACAATAGAATAATAATAGCAACTAAAAACACAATAATATTTGCATCTGTCCAGAAGCTGATGTTTTGACTGTATATTCAGGCTCTGTTACTACTAAAAGATATGGATGCGATTTTAAAACAATAATAAAAGATATGCAGGAAAGAACCCATTTTAAGGGTGTTTTAGTTATACATCTTGAAACTAGTATGTCATTGAATTAAAATTAATGTGTGGTTCAGTGGAATTTTGTTTAAAAACCTGAAAAAAAATACTTTAGAATAAGCATTATGGCTTAGGAGATGATGCACAGGACTGTGTCAGTTCAGTTCTAATGTTCTGTCACTTATTTGTAGTGTGACCTTAGGTAATTTGCTTTACTTTTCTGGGCTTTAGTACCCTCATTGACAAAGTGGAGGGAATGCCCCTTTCAACCCTTTATAGTATACTTTGATGAAAAGCACTACACAAATATTATTATTACTGATATACAGAATTTTGGAGGAGTAGATCCATAGTCTTCCTTTTTTAATCCAACAAGACTGGAGTTTGAGATGTATATTATTTGCAGAATGCTTAATGTCCTCACAAATATTTACTGTAAAAAATGCAGGAACCTACTTTTCGCTTTACTTTAGGAAACTTAAAAATGACATCAGCTTATCAGGACAAAACACAGAACAGGCTCAAGTCTGGTCAAGAAAATGAAGAATGAAAGGACTATTAAATACATTGTTTTAAACTTATAAAAAAGTAAGTATGTCAGACGTGTGACTATTCTGTTACATGGGATGGAATCTTCATTTTATGTAATTATTCATTTTTCAGAGCATTTCAATATACACCTAAAAAAACAGTATTAAACATTTTCCAAAAATCACTCATGGTCTTTCCCTCTTTTGCTAAATCTTTTAGATTTCATTTGTGTAACTGCACTCCATTGTCTCCGTGTCCCTAGAAAGTGTTACTGCAATCCAAGGAACTTTACACGGGTCTATCAAGTATATCCAGCTATAGAACACAGTTTTTGGCTGGACTATCAGTGATGAGTTAGGATCCAACTTACAGTCTGTAGTCAGATGGCACTGACTGCTGTCAATGGCCTGAATAAGGGCCAAGGAGTATATATATCCTCCATATCCAAAGAATCTAAGGGTACAGGAAGATGGACTAGCTACTGAAGAAGTCTAGCCCGCAAAGAAATGTTACCAGAGGTTAGCTTCCAATTACTAAAGTGCACCTAGCAGTACTATGCTGAAGCATGCCGTGTTGCTTTGTGCCTCCTATCTTCCAAACTGGAAGAAGTGTACTTGCATGGTACTGTGGATAGGTTAACTACTGTATTTTCTCATGTACAACAAGTCTCTGAATAAAATAGACATCTTGAGTGCCTATAGACATGTGGGATGCCTGCTCTGATGCACTGTAATTACAGCATGTTAGAGCAGACTTGACTAATTGAGTCTGCTGGAACGTGCTAATTAGAATGCTCCAGCAGCCTCAACATCACATATATTCAGGGTCCATGCACTTCAAAATGGTGGGAGTGGTGCTTTAACTAAAGCTCATTGAACAAGCTCCCAAGAGTTGCTCTAATTAAACGCTCTCCCCACCAAAACATGTGTAAAGACAC